AGTTCTTTATGTATTCTGGATTCTAGTCCCAGATCAGATATATGATTTGCAAATATTTTCTCCCATTCTGTGGGTTCTCATTTTACTTTATAGTTTTAGCTCTTACATTTAGGTCTATGACCCATTTTGAGATAATTTTTGTATAGGGTGTGAAGGAGTCCAACTTCATTCTTTTGCATATAAAGATCCAGTTGTCGTTGTCGCAACATCATTTGTTGAAAAGAATATTCTTTCCCTGTTGAATTTTCTTGGAAGCAGAAAGCTCGTAAAATCTTAAGAAATTGTCTCAAAACGAAAAGAAGCCCCTGAACCCACCAAATTTCAGTGGGCAGGAAGCAGGATAAGAAAACCATTCAATTGCTATCATGGGCTGCGTAAGTCTTCAAGTCATGGATAGCTTGTTGGAAACTGTGACTTTAAGTGACTTTTGCATGTGAAAGGAATGAAAATAATTGTATCCAGAGGGCGGAATGTGATAGGTTAAATAAGGCCACAATGTTTTGAGCTGTTCCTGTCAAGAGATGGAGTCTATTTCCCTAGTCCTTGCTTCTGAGCTAGCAATGTGACTTAATGTTGACCAGTAGAATGTGACATGGTGTTAGCTGGAACCTAGGCCTTGAGGACCTTGGGGCTTTTCCTCTTGTAGAACCTTTCCCTGAACGTAAGGGAACTGGGCCAGCCTATTAAAAGATGAGTGACCACATGGAAGAGCTAAGTTGCCCTATGTGACAGCGGCACCAGCTGCCAGACATGTGAGCGAGGCATCTGGGACCTTCCAGCCAAGTGGAATGCTCTGGCCAGATACAGCCTCATGAATAAGACCAGGCAAAACCAGCAAGGAACTGCCCTGCCAGCCCACAGAATAATGAGAAATAATACGCTGCTGTGTTCTAAGCCACTCGCTTGTGAGGTGAGCTGCTATGCATACACATTAGATTCCATTCACATCAAAAAAATAATTGAGAGGCCAAGTAAGAAAGAAAGTTGCAAAAATTTGATTTATTAAGGCTTTAGTTTGAAGGCCATAGTAAAAGGAAGAAGTAGCTTACATTTTGGACTAGATTTCCTTTTCATGTGAGACCCAGAAAACTTGTAAAGAAAGAAGTTTCTTCCCCTCTTGTGCAAGTGAGAATTAGGAAACAGAGAAGCTATAGTTAATTAATGAGGTATTACTGAAGGTCTTTCCTGGACATTGCCTTTGAGTTCTTGGGAGAAAATAGGCTTTATTCATCCAAAGAATTATAATGGAAAATTGCTGAAAATATCACTGGCTTTGTTTCTTGAGAAGAACAGAGTTTTCTTTCAACATTCCCAGGCCCTAGCCAAGGCAGAATCGCAGCCATCAGGCCAAGCGTGACCGCAGGAAGGTCCTCATCTCTCAGGCTGGAGTCAGGCATGCCTTTCCCTCACCTCACTGCCAAAGGGCCCTGGATGGTCTGATTGTGCATCAGGTCCCTCTCCTGCCTCTTGTCCCCCCAGGGCTTCCTTATTTTTCACCATCCCCAACCTCTGTCTGATTCTTCTTGCTGTGACACTCTCTGACCAATATTCCCTGTGTCAAGTCACACACGCTTCCAAGAAGAGGCCTTATTTATGTCCAAGAAAAAAATGAATACAGAATAACAGGCCAAAATAGAGGTTCCTGCAGCTTTTCTGTTATCATTCAAATGTGATTCCATACCCTCCTTGGACATGGTTTAGTCATTTTAATGAGGTATTAGACTTGCTTCCCCTAGTGAAATCAAATTTAGTATAATTTAGAGGACCATCAGTGACATGATAATTGATTTCTGGTCACATATTCAAATAGTTCTATTATTCAAGATTTTACAGACAGGTTAAAAAGATTATTCACCATATCAGAACATTACCCGTAAAAAAAGAATCTTTTTTAGAAAGAGAATTTTGAAATGCACATTTAAGAAGTTCATGTAATATAGAAGGGTATTAAGGTCATACCCATCATCCCTGGTCCCATTTCCCAGCAGTAACTGATAATAAGAGGCCTTTTAAAATTTGTTTAATGTATCCTTCCAGACATTTTTATACACATACAAGCATATTATATGTGTCCATTGTTTCTCAACTAATCAGACTGAAACGTCTCTTCTATATAAGAAGTATTTTTAATGTCTCCTTTGCTGTCATGAGGTAAAATTAATACTGGTCTTAATGCTATGTTCCCTAGAAAACAAAACCTGAGGCAAGAATTTGTGCTGATGCTTTATTATATTGGGGAGGGCCAATGTCAGGGCACTGAGAACAGGGAACAAAAGGGGTGGGGTAGGCAGGGAAGACAGGAGTACACGAGTGCTTCCAGAGGCCCAGAGAGACCCAGCCAGCCACTCAGCAGGTGCATTCCCAATCACACGGGACATCTGTCTCGATAGAGGGTGTATGGAGAAACCATGCCTCGGACAAGTATGTAAGAAGGAGCAGGAAGAGGATTATTTATCTTCTTGGTGCCTCCCTATTATAATATTAACTCCTGTTTGGCCCTACAAAGACTGAAGTCCCCTGCACTTCTGCATTGCTTGTGTTATCACCTTTAGCAGCTGCTCAGGAAGGCAGTTCCTGTGTCCTACAGTGTGGCTTTTTGTCCAAGTCTGGAATTGATGACAGAACCCAGACATTTAACTATGCATCTTCTTAGCCAGGCTGCCTGGCAGCCGCCTAGGGAAGCAGCAAGGGAGGCTGCCTTTCTAGGCAAGCAGTTGGTTGGTTTTAAATGGCAGAAACACTTAGGTCAGGCGGAGCCAGCTGTGGTGGTGCGTATGGTTGAGTAAGCAGCCGTTAGTTCAGGAGATGAGATGAAGGCATTGAAGGAATCTGAGGAGAGGCATAGGAGATATCCAGTACAGTAACATAACTTGTATATACTCAGGACTTTTAATAATTGATATCTCCTAACTGTAATGTAAAGAAAAATTTTAAAAGGAAAGTAATGATAATAAAATATATGCATTTCAATATGGAGGTGCTGGGGTACAATTACAATAAAAGACAAAATGAAATAGTCAAATGTTTGACTTTTCCCCAGATTCACCATGAAGGACGGGCCTCTAAGTCAGGTGTTTTGTTTTGGTGACGCACATACAGACGTGCTACTGCTGACTTGTTTTTATAAACTATGAATAACTTTTTGTAGTTCCCTGAGCAAAACTAAAACACAATTTTTGTTCCATATACATGGTAGTTGCATGTCTAAAAAAATCAGAATATATTGAATCAGTCAAAATGTTTTCATATATAAAATATAGTCAAGGTCTAGGCTCAGATAATTACAAACAGGTTTTTCACCTATATGAATAAAAAATTGTGTGGGACATGGTTCCATTGGATGTAGGGCTGTCATCAGCAGGATATCTACCATGTCTGGTTCATTAAACACCAATAGTGGGCTCCTCCCCTAATCATGGTGACAACCAAACAGCACTATACAGATTTCCAAAATGCCCCCACAGGGTGTTGGGAGGGGGCAGTGCTATTTCTTGAGAACCTCTTTTACAAAAACGAAAACCCAGGAGATGTGCATCTTGCAGATCTTACACTTGGAGATTTTGTCCATATTAGCACTTACAGATCAACTGCTCTCTATAATAGTTGCACAACATTCAAACATTTCTGTGTGCCAGGGTGTATTTAGCAATTGATGGTCTTATTGACTTTTTCAGCTTCTTGTTACAAACTATGTTGCAAAGATGATCCTTATACATTAGCCTTTTAGCACTTGTGCAATTATATCTCTAGAATAAATTCCCATAAGCCAAATGGTACATGTATTTTTAAATTTTTATGAATATTGACAAATAGCCCTCCAAATTATTGTCAGATAAGCACCTACTGATGCTTTCCCGTCACCTCCCACCACTAGGTATTACAGAAGGTTTTAATCTTGGTCAATTGATTCTTTAAAGGTAAAAATGAAGAATTTTAAATGTCCTATTTAACGCCATTTTCAGATCATTTGACATTACTAAGTAGCTCCTAGCCTTGTCTTTTTATATAGGATATTCACACAGAAGAGAAATTGGGCATTCAGTGTTTTCTAGGGTTGAACCAGGATCATAACAGAAAGTTAGACAGATAGAAGTTTTGGCTCTAAGAATGTAAAAACTTTTAAACAAATCTAGCCATCAGCAATGGAGTGGCCTGCCTGGGGAGATAAGGAGCTCCCTCCCCGTAGCTGGAAATTTTCAATTTCAGGCTGGATGAACAACTTCAAGTAATGTTCTAGAAGAGATTCCTGAGTTTAGTGGAATATTATACAAAACCAATATTTTAAAGATGTAGTACCTGGGCCATGGTGTGTTTGTGGATGACTTTTGGTGGTACAAACTTTAAAAAATTTTATTTCATTTTTATATGTATAAACTATGTTGCACTATTACTAGCAAATCATATACCTTAATAGACTAAGGTCGTTTTGCTGAAATCATCAATAAAGCATAGCAAAAAGGAGCTTGATGACCTTCAAAACTGAGATTCTATAGTTCTAAATCTAATCTCAGTAATACTAAAGTTGCAACTAGTAAGAAGACTTCAAAACCCCACCTGTTAGAACAATGTAAACACAAACCAAATTCTAGTACAACAGAGAATTCGAGTATTTGGAACTTAGTGTACAGGTCAAATCCCATGAAAACTTAGTTAAAAATGACAGCCCTAAGCCCTAGGTGAAAACCCATCCAGAAACTATTTTCAATTTAATAATTTGAAAACAATACTAATATTTTAGTGAGTTTTTTTAAAGTTTAAAGTTTCCTGCAATAGGAACAAAGATGAATATTTTAAATGAATTCAGAAAAAAAAAAGTGCACACACAAAAAGTTGCTGGTGGCATCCCATTTACCCATCAACACTTCCAAGCCCACCCTTGGTGGAAGAGAATATCAAGACTTGTCTTCACACTCCCGTGGGCCTCTGTCACTATCATGAAACCACAATCCAGTTTGCCATATTATATATGTGGAATATAATATAAACTTCTGCACTGGAAATCACAGGTGAATTTTTATTTAATTAATATGTAATTTTTACATGATATTCATGGTGCTATAAACATAGGCACATTTTAAAAAACCTCAAGGTACATCCAAAACTTATCCTCTTACCCCAGCCTACTCCAGTTCCCTCAAGATGGAATATCTATTATTTGTAAAACAGGAGCCAGAAATCCTGCCAATTAATTTTAGGAGAATCCTTGTAACCATTAAGACCACTCTTTTCTTGCTTTAACCAAGCTTTTGGACAAAGGAGCATGTGTTTTCAGGATTTTAATTCTACCAATTGATAGAATTAATTAAATGCCTCTGCCTGGGTAGTTTGTAATAGATTTATACTTTTGTTTCCTCTACTTAGTTCAAGTCAGAGAAAAATTGGTTATCTACATCCCTATTGGCCTTAAGAGATGGCCTCCTAGGATGGTTTAAATAGATGTCACCATACCAAAGGACTCACTTAACCACATCTACTGACAAATAGGCAGCTTCCCATAAAGTACAGATTAAAACATTGTTCACTTGTCTTGGTTTTCACTTAGGAACAAACACTGTACATTTAATAATTCATGGGATTGAGCACAGAGCTCAAGGGACAAAAACAAATTCCCCCAAATGACTCAGTTGACTCACTGACTATACCCAGACATGATCCAGACTTGCAAGTTTGTGTCATACACCCCAACATACATCAAGACAAAATTAAAATCTACCGTAGAAAGCCATTATAACTTGTTGAATTCAAAATCAGAAAAGAAATGAGTATTTGAAATTGATTCATCAAAGCCACTCTATTATGACATATTTTTAACTTGGAGGGAAAAAAAACGATTCATATACACAATTCTCTTAGTAAAATTTACTATTTCTTGCTAATAACACATTTTAATTTACTTCAGAAAATGCATTAATTTTATTCAAATATATTTTTCCTGAAATATAAATATTTAAATTAAATTTTTATAAATGTAGAGAATGTAGCTTCTGTTGACCCCTACACAGATATTAATCAGTCCAAAACTTAAGTGATGAAGAAATATTTGTAGTTATGATCATTTTAATTTGTCTATAAATATATAATAGGATTTTTGCAACTTATTTATGAGTAATTAACTCATACTTCATGTAGTACCGAGCACCTTAGATTACATATTGTTGAATTAAACTATTAGCATTAATATATGTATTTTAACATGTTATTTACAATACACAAGTATAATTCTTTTGTATAACAACATTCCAGTGATTTTTGAAAATATATAGTGAAAGAGTGCAATATAATTTACAAATGCATCAAAGCTTTCCTATAGTATTCAAGCTGGGACTTTACTCTTCAGCATTTCATAATAGGAAACAAACAAACCAAAATCAATATCCTAAAGCTGTGTTTTCTAAGGCATTTTCTTAAAAAGCACTAGCTTTACAAGATGTTCCATTAAAAAGGAGTTCTGTAGGTAAGGGTGAAGAATGGCTCACCAGGTTACTTTAAAGTCTTTGAGGAGGCTGGCAATGATGAAATCTGTTTAACATTTTTTAAACTCAGTATCAAACCAAGTTTGTTACCAAACCCCTTTCCCCACCCTCCAAAACACCACTCAGTCAATGTCTTGTGGAACTAGTGTCATATGATTCATACTTTGGGGAAATGCTGATTTGAAATAAAATTTTGTAACACAGTAAACACTATGTCTGAGTGAGCAAAGTCATGTTCCTTTAAAAACAGTTTCACTTTTTAAAGCTCTTTGCATGGGTATTTGCTAAAAATAAGATTCTTAAAAAAAATACACAGGTCTAACACAGAAAGTCTGTCTATGTAAACTACAGAGGAAAAAAATAAGTGCTAGAAATGCTTACAGAAATTCTAGAGCTAATTTTCAAGGTTTGACAAAAGTGACTCCAAATAATAGGTGTTATTTTTAGTGAATTAGTTTTGAAAGATAAAGGCAAAAGCATTAAATCAGTACTGTGCTATATATTGTCTGAAAATATTCTTGTAGAAAAATATCAGGTCATTATATTATTTCCCTGGAATTTCAAGAGAACTGCAGATACTATCAATAGATTTGATTAAAATACTGGGCCTATATGTAAAACCCAGCATTATCCAGAATTAAACTAGGCTGCTCTATTACTTGCTTGAAAATGCATGCATACAAGCACAGGCAGAAACGAGGGTCAATAAACTGTTCAGTATTGCCACTTAAAACCATGAAATAGAGATAATTAGTTAACCCCAACCATGTGAGTTTTATGTATATGAATCAGATGACAATCTTTTCTAAAAGAAATTCCCACAATTTGCTCTCTATAAATAAAGCTATCAATCTTGGCTATAAGACAGTAGACCTTGATGTGAGTATAGTCCCAGAATTAATCATCTTCCGTGCATACAACTCCTTAGCAAAGCTTTATCAGTTTAAACACTCAACTTTGGCTCAGATTCCACTAGCTTACAGCTCAGACCAATATCTGATGCTTTATATAATTCCTGCTCAGCATATGCTAATGAGAATACCTGGGATTCATTCTACACTATTGAAAGATAATTCGTTTTTAAAAAAAGTAGCAACTACTTCTGAAAGGTTGGTTTCTATTTGAAGTATTTTTCTTTTCCTTCCAGTGAAAGTCAACTCAACTAGAATCAGGAAATCACAATGAAACAAGAGATCATTGTTACTGGGGGTAGGAGGCTGGGGGAAGAGGTGACAATGTCCATTTCTCATCTATTCAGTCCTTGCTTACCTGGGTGAACCAGTTGCCTGGAAACTGGTATGATTAAGATCTGCACATGCTGTTCTAATGGTCATGTCCTTGGTTGTCATTATTTAGAAGCTATGCTGTGTATTTCCAATCGCCCTCACCTCTTTAACCTTGTACTGTTCTAAAAATCTTTATTCTGATATTTCTCAGGGCGCTTTCTTAGGATACCCCCCTTGTAGTTGCTGAAACTGACATAGAAGTCTGGGACAGTTACACATGACTCCTGAGATCTAAAGCTGACTGTCGCATGCTACATCTGGTGCGCTGTTCCCTACAGATGGTGTCCGATGTCACATACTCTGGTGGCATTGCAGCCCTCCTTTTCTCAAAAGCAAGTTGCCCCTCTCTTCAGGCCACCAAGCCCAGTCTTGTAATCTTAGCTGACAGGAAGGAATGAATGATGAAAACAATTGGCTTGGGGCAGGAATGAAGGTCCAGTTGCTGAAATTAAAAAAAAATAAAAAGATGCATGAGAGATTTTAAATTAATGCTTATGCAAAACAGTGATTTACACATCAAATGGATCTATACACACTTACTGCTTTTAAATGTTAACTGGAGCAATTATGTTTGAAAATCATTGCCCCTCAATGAGATAAAAGAATAACTCTTTTAATTTATTCCTTACATCTTATATATCTTCTTCCAAAATAGGTTCTATGAAATGTAGATATGCCAACACCATAAACAGTGATGTTGCCCTTCTTGACTGTCTACCTAAACCATTTATGTCTGGTGCCGCAAGAGTGATGTTTATTGATGTTGGGTTTGGTACAGCATGAAGCAGTACTAAATTTCATATCTGAAGATAAGGTTTGAGTCCTGGTTCTGACACTTTTTAGATGTAAGATCTTGGACCAGTGACTTAAAATTCTTCTCAGTCCTTCTAACTCACAGACTAGAGTATTAAAAGAGACACTATATGTGAAAATTCCCTGTTTGCTGTTAAATACAGAACCCATGCTAAGCAGTTGTGTCCTCACTGTCCAGTAGAGTGAATCATTGTAAGCGCATATGTCACATCTCTGGGAAGGCACTTTCTGAAGTCCTGTCTTTCTCCGTGTGTTTCTACAGAACCCAGCACACAGGGCAGGGGGGGAGGCCTTCAAAAGTTGAATTTTATCACCTGACCTAATTTAGGAAAATTGGGGGCATTGTTCTCAATTCTCTTCTGCTCTCCCCAATTTTGTTCTGATGATGACATTGTTGGGAAATAAGAACAAGCTGAGCATATAATATCTACCAAAGTTAAGGTTGTCCTCATTATAAATCAGGTACTGTGCTAAATGTTTTCTGCACACTATCTTATTTAGTTCTCTCTGGCAAAATCCCCGTGAGGTAGCTATTACTATTATCTCTACTTTTTATTTGGGGAAACTAAGATTTGGAGAAATTATAAGACTTTCCGAAATTATAGATCTTACAGTAAATAGAAAGTATGGATTCAAACACAAGTCTGAAGCCAGAGCCAGGGCTTACCACAACTTTCTATGTTACCAGCACAGTAGGGACATCAAAGATGACCTACTTCATTCAGTCCCTTTATTTTATGGATGGGGAGACTCAGATTGAGAGAAATAAAAGGACCTTCCTGAGACAGTGGTGAGTAAGTTGCAGACTCAGAAAGAGAACCCAGGGCCTGATTCTCAATTTATTGCATTTCCTACGACTTATCTCTGCTCCCTTCCCCACACAGGAAAGGCCTTGCCCACCTCCTGGGGGTGCTTAACCAGACACTGGGGGGCTGTGTCTGAATTTGAGCTTGTCAACTAAATGTATTAGCAGTAAAAAAAATCAGTTCATCCTAAATCTTCCAAGTCAGGCCATAATTACAGGCAGAAAGGCTGAAATTTAGACCTAAGTGATTTTCCTCACGGGCAAAAATAGCCTTGAATTTTAAAGCCAAGGATAAAGCAGGAGACTGATTCTTGTTCTTTTCCACTTTGCTAGAGAGTAGTCACCTTTAGGAAAACGTACACAGTTGGGTGATTGATAGAGCTGCAACCGAACTAGAAGTATTCTTAGTAAAATGGACTTTCACATCACTGCTTTATTTCCAACCAGGTGCTTCAGCTTGACTTTGCTGATTGAAACATAAAAATAAACAAAAATTCAATAAAATTCTGTAGATCTATTTTAAAAGTTAGAAAAATTGCTGGCTGGAAATAGTTCTCAGAAAAGGAATGCACATCAAGTGTCAGCCCCAGGGATGGTCTTCTCCAGGACCGCCTGCAGCATTCATCGTGAGACATCTGGTACTGTGTTGGGGCAGGAAGCAGGGCACCATCTAGAACCGTGGGACTGCGATTTTGAGATAAAAGACTCTTATACCATTAAGTGTGTTCCTGGCTTTTTCCTATCTGAAAGTCAACAAATAAATTGTTGACTAACCCGGTGGCTTGGGAGGACCTAAACAGAGACGAGTTATCATAAAATCAAGGTCCTTTTTGAAGTTGTATACTCGACAGCTTAAATGAGATGCTATGTCTTCCTGAGAAGTGCCAGGAATGACACTTGCTAGAGAGCGTAAGAACGTGCAATTCTCACCCTCCTGCGGAAGTGAAGTGTTAATAATACACTTCTTCATTATGGCAGGCAGCAGTGATCACAGGAAATCAGGAATTTAAACAGATGAACTATCTGCACTGAGATGAGAAGTATAAATGTTACCTTAGCTGATACTTTTGCTAATTTGCTTTGATATTATTTGACATTAGCTCCATACTTCTGTGCTCTTGTCTGGCCCTCTCTCCACTCAGGTGGACTTAAGCAGGTTCTTTTTGTTTTCCTGCTGCTCCCTCTACTTTGCCCGTGTCATCTAGCCCTTCCTATCTCTTTGCTGTCTGTCCTCTCTGCTCCTCAGAGACCTCCCTGATGGGAGGGACTGTGTATTTTACCTCTCTGTATCCCTAACACTTAGCACAATGCTGAGGTTATATTAGATGCTTGATAACTTTTTAAAAATGCATGGTACACTTTTTTTAAGTTGGTGAGCTTCTATTTGATAAGAATTTAATGCTAACTTTGTAAAGGATTCTTTCCTTTGATTCAAATATTTATGTAGCCTTCTAATGGAGAATGAGAACAAACGAAACAACTTTGAGATAACTGAATCCAATCACTGGTTTTCAAGAATCAAATAAAACATGGGCCTGCAAGTACTTTGGTAACAGTCAAATGCTGAATAAAGGCAGCATTATGTTGCTTAATGAAAGAGATGAAATCACGCTGTCTACAGAAAAGTGCACTTACGATCTCTCCATCTTTGCCTCCAAAATCTAAATACAGCATCCTGATTCCATCATCTGAAGACATTTTGAGCTTTTCATAAGGAGACTGTAGGATTGTCTTGGGAAAGGCACCCTCCTGTGATTCAGTGGTAATAGAAAATCCATTCTCATAATGTATGGTCAAACGGCACTCCTGGTTTTTATAGGTGCAAGCTGAGGGAGAAAGAGAGGGAGGAGAGACAGACAAGTAAGAACCATGGACATCAATCCACGTTGCCAGTTACTTCATACTTCAGGCCCAGGGACCAACCAAAAATTTCTTACTAAAGCAAAAAAATGATAATTTGTCATGAAATATTCTCCTTGGATTGGTTTTGATATTATCATTTTACTAGGCCCACAGAACTAAGGGAAATGAACTGAAAGAAATTCCTTTAGCTGTGAGCTACTGAATGTTCTCTGGGCTCTAGCCCTTATCTGGCCATCTGACAGCACCTAGGTCTACAGAGCACTTGCCTTCTGATGGCCAGATGGGCCTTGCCTCAAGCCAGAAAAAAGCAGACATTTGATTCAAATAAATAAAGCCTCCTCTGACTCACTATCATACACACACACACACACACACACACACACACACACACACACACACACACACAATGTCATGTCTACCACGTGGTGAGAGAAGCCAGCATACCACCATTACATTACCAAAGGTAACAAATGTAACATACTTCAAAAAGTTAGGAGTGAGTAGTTTAAACATAATCTAAATTTTAACTTTAAAAAGTGTCTAACAAAGCTCTTTTTGGAAATTGAAAGGGGTGCTCTTTTCATTTTCCTGATGATCTTGGCTCCTGGAAAAGTCACTGTTGCAGACAGATCTGAGATGTAGCATCTTCCACAAAGAATGCTGTTCCTCCCCCTGGCCCAGTGTGGCATCCAGGAAGCTCAGGAGTGGGATCCACATGGTATCCTCTGATCCAGAGGAACAAAACAGACACCTCTTGAGCAGGTCAGGTGCCAGCTTTTATCTGGGATTCTCACTGCATTAGGAAAAGACTGGTTCTTCAAGCTCATAGACTGGGCAAGGGGACTGCCACCAGCATCTCTGTCTCTGTTTACAAACACTCATGAATGTTTAAAATCCTTGATCAAAGAGTTCTGAAAAAAAGTTATTGAGTATCAGATTGGATTTGTTTCCCAGCCAAAACACTACGTTTCAGACCCTGGCAAGTAAGTTGGCTCAGGTTTTATCTACATCTAAAAGATCTTTAGGGAAACCAGGACATTGTCTTTGGTGGGAGTGGGGGTTAGGATAAGTAAGAGAGAGGGCATTATTGATTGAGACCTGGCTCTATACCATCACCAGCTCTGCTCAGCTTTATAAACCCTAAAACTCTTGACTCAGGAATTTAGCCCAATATTTGAGGTGAAAAAAAGCAAAGTTCAGAGAGGTGAACATGTCACTACCCGGGTTGTTCAGCTTTCAAAATTGAAGTTCTTTTCCCTCTGTCCCTGGCATCTTTCTCATGCTCTGGCACTCAGGATGTGACGGGATGTGGGGAGGGGGCTTGGCACAGAGTCTCTCAGCTTTCCTCCCTCATGAACAATGACAGCAGAGTGTGAGAAAAAAATAAGGATCTCTATTGCTCACAGAATGAGGTGACTTTTCATTGAAGCTCTGATTAAAACATATACCCCTTCCCCTGACTTACAACAGAAACATTCCAGCTTGTAACTAGGGCTGATCTTTTCCAAAGGTGTGCTCTCTAATAGGTCTGTGAGTCTTTCTGGGTGGAGCCCCTGGCCCCTGCCCTCTGCCCCTTCCTCCTGTTCAAGGATGACCAAGGACAGTGGCATAGAGGTAGATGGCTCCCCGTCTTAACTCCTCTTTTTTTGATAATCTTCACTTCTACCACCTATAGAATATGTGCATTTTAACCATGTTTTTTTCTTCCTACCTCTTTAGAATTTAGAATATCTGATGGCATGGCTTTAAAGCTATACCATCAGATATTCTAAATTAACTCACTGTGATTACTTTTCATTCCAGTTGACCTTGAATGGTATTTGTGGCCTATATATAATGGAACCAGTTATCTGAAGATATTCTCAACCTATATAGGATAAATTAGACACATTAACAAGTTAATTGAAGCTGTGATTAAAACATAAGCCCCTTTTCCTAACTCTCTGCAGGCACCTTTCAATTTGTAACTGGGCTGCACTTTTGGTTATTTCTATAATTTCTTCTCTACCAGCACCCAGCTAGCTCAGTTCACAAAATTCTTTCCTATTCTTCTCCGGCTAGTCTATCAACAACAGCCTCATCGTCCTCCTGTCAGAGCAGAGTTCAGCTTATTGAGGAGAAGGATTTTACAAAATTTATGGAATGTAAACTTAGCCAAACCCCTTTGGACATCTTCATTATTTCTTAGAACACTCCCAAAATTGTTGCATGGAGTCTCAACTTCTCTGGTATTACACAGACAACTTCATGAAATTTAGCATACAGGTGGCTTGGGCCTTTTCCAACTCTCAAGTTCAAAACTCCAGTTTTTCTTGCCATACAGAGTAAGCATCAAAAATAAAAGCTTCAGGGACACCCCAAAAGGTTTTCAACAACGATGGGAAAAACATTAGGGGGCAAGAATTAGTTTCAAGATAATTACCAAAAGGCACTGATTATCTTGGCTATGCTGTGGCAGAAATTTATAAAACATCTTATTTTTTAAGTTTGCATAAGTAGAAGAAATTTGGAGAAACCCTACTACATGTTAATGAATGTCACATCTTTTAGAACACAAATGGGTGTCAGAGGAAGTTGCACCCTAGTGTTGAACTACGCAAAGAGTAATCCATGGGCCAGTAGCATCAGTACCATCTGGAATCTTGTCAGCTGCAAATTCTCATTCCTCACCCTAGAACCACTGAATCTGAATCTTTGGGGGTGGGGGTAGGGGTTTGCAATTTGAGGCTTTTGAAGGTAAAAAAAAAAAAATCGTTGTCCTTGTTTTCGATACAGCTAAAGTTTGGAAGCACTGTTCCTATGATGTCTTGTGGGAAATTCTGTTTCTCTAGAGCAGAGCTGTACAATAGGACTTTCTTCCATGATCAAAATGTTCTAGATTTGCAATGTTCACCCTAGTAGCCATTAGGCACACGCAGCTATTGAGCACTTGAAATGCGGCTAGTGACACTGAGGAACTTATTAATTTAAATTAATGTAAATAGACACATGATCAGAGGCTAGCATATTGGACAGCACAGGTCTGGACATAATAATTATAAGAATAACAATTAATAATAGTACTTAATGACAACAACACTAGGAGTAGGTACCATACTATTGCTCCTATTACACCTGTGAGATAGATACTATTACCTTCCCCTTTTTATAGATGAAGAAACTAAGAGATTAAGTAAGTGAATAAGGAAGAAACAGAACTGGAATTAGAATCCAAGCCCATGCAACTCATAGCCCCTACTGTCATCAAGGTTATGTGACTGTAACCTTGTATTGCTTCCTCAGAAACGGAGAGAAATGAAAGAACAGGCAAGACAGCATGATAGGACAAGGTAAACAATGAAGATTATGTGAAGCAACATGAAACTCAAAGTTAGATTCACTGGAAAGCCATTGTTGAGGTCACTAGCTACTGTGTCACATAACACCCTCTTCACGAGTGTCCACAGGAGCCCTGGGAGAGGCTGGTCTTAGATCTCAGAACAGAAATCATTGGTCTTAGATCTCAGGATCAGGAATGATAGCATTATATTATAGATACTGTTAACTGTATCTTGAGCTGACTGATGAAAAACACTGGGTTAAATATGGAGTCCACCCTAGCAAATACACAAGATGTTATGGCATGCATTTAGTCATTAATGTCACCTTAGATTCTATATTACTTTTCCTGTCTTTTATTTTACCATTGTCCAATTAAAACTTTTAAATTATCTATATCTCTTGATATATATTTTGATATGTGTGTATTGATGTCTATCTATCTATCTATCTATCTATTTTTGGAGAGTAGCATGAAAATTATTTATCACGACAGCCTGAACAGAATTGCTGTCTGTTGGATCACCGGCATAACAGTGGGAAGTTCCATGTGTCTATCTATACTCTAGTGGACAAAGAATGGACTTCAGAGTGACACAACCTAGAATTAAAGTAAGTTCTGCCATTTATTAGTTGTGTGACTTTGGGCAAGTTACTTAACCTTTCTTAAGAATTTGCTTCCTGATTTGTCAGGTTGACAAGGGAATCGTAAGGATTCGATGATATAGGCAATGTATTGTGAACCAGACACATGTACTTGTATACACACACACACACACACACACACACACACCTGAATCAAAAGTTCTACAAAACAATAAAACAACATTTACACCAATTTCTCTATTCCATGTTTCTCATTTTTAAAATGTTGGTCTTGCCTCAATTAATTGATTTCAGGACTCACAAAAGGGTTGTTTTTCACAGCATGAACAACACCAAGACACATTACATAAAATGGCCGGCATACAGCAGGTACTCAACATGTATTGCAGTATAGGAGGGTTCTTCCTTCTACACACATCTCCCATTGCTGCTACCAGCCTGTCCTTTCCGAGAGCTCCATGTGAGCACGGCCTGTGCTCGTTCAGTGCTCCTTCCCTCCTGCCTCCGCCCCTCCATTCACACCAGCGACCAGGGGCACTGGTCACTCTTCTCAGGGCTTTCCACTTAGCCCCACTTACTGCTGCCTACTTACCTTTGGTTCCCGCTCTTTTTCACAGCATGGGTCTCCAGTCTTCTGATCAATTCTGTGAGCTGCCTCATATATTTCCAATAATTTCATTTTGTGATAAATTACTCAGAATCAGTTTCTGTTGTTTGTAATCGAGAACCCTACTAGTTCATGCCTCAAAACTCATTTCTCCAGGAAGCCACCCAGGGGTTAAAAGTAGGAAAATGATAATTGAATATTCAAGTTACCAACTTTTCTTGGAGGAAGATTAGTTAAGGTTTTTCATAATCAAAACCTTAGGCTCCATTTTAGTAGGGCACAGACCACTTTAATGTAGAAGAATTTAAATTTAGCTCTGGAATTCTAAGTTCCCCTAAGAGGCCAGTAATGAAAACTACTTTGAGGCCAGGGTGGAACAGAGGTTGTGTCCTTCCCATAACAGTGTGTCACTGGTAGCCCACTGCCAGCAGTACTTACCGGTGGTGATTTCGGTAATGAGTTCAGCAGCATTGTGGCAACCCTGAACTATGCTCCTTGTCCAATGCGAGAGGTCCCTGCTGGTCTCTGCCCTGAAGAGATGTGTTTCAATCCCTTGCCTGGTACCAGTTCGTGTTGCAAAGGACAGATCCACACCAGCCTGGGGTGAACCCTTTCCTGGACCTGAATGGACCAGCCTAAAGAGAGAGAGAGAGAGAGAGAGAGAGAGAGAGAGAGAGAGATCAGCAAAATGGAGACTAGTTTATCCACCTGGCATATCACCTTGTAAAAGCCCCAGATTGGTGATTTGCTCTACTTTTTTCTGATCTAGAATCAAAGGGCTCTACTATATCCTTCTCTGTCAGGGTTTACTGCCTTTCCTGTCATCTCCTCTCCAATGGTAGCGTGAGGTTGAGACAGCACTCAAATCAGTGCATCTGGATGAATATGCAAAGGACTTGAACAGTATGACTTTAACACGTGCAAATTCGACTCTACTCACTCAGCCAAAAAGAAAAAGAAACAAAGATTTAAATACTGTGTAAAATTCTCTCCACCATTCCATTCCTAAGCATATATATGTCCCAGCCTGAGCATGAGATGGGCACGTGAATCTTCCGGATCACTTAGTGCCCCTGTGTCTCTTGTAGTTTGGAGCATGTGGCTGCATGAATGTACTTCTGGGTGTGCATTTTTCATGCATAGAACTCCCAAGAGCAAGCAAACAACTTGGAACTCAACTGAAGAAACAGCAACAGGTGTTTCTGATAAAGCTCAAGAGAGAACTGGCAAACCAGGACTTCTTGAGAAATGGTAGAGAATTGCATTTTTTGAGAGATTTAAGAGATTTTTCAAGAGAAATGTTTACCATAGAAGCTTTTTACACTGACTTTAGAACCTACACTCAACATAAAATGTGACTTTCACAATAAATATTTTCTGAACAGCCAGACTTAAAAGGTAAAGAATCAAAGTGCACTGAGTGCCACCTGCTGAGCAGGCACTGGGTCCTACATCTCACTATTTAATTTAATTTAATTTTGTTTTATTTTATATTATTTTATTTTTTTGAAAGTCTATGTATCACTCATTGCCTTCAAGCAATTGGATCTCTTATACTCTCTCTTACTTTTCCACATCTCAACCTCCTTTTAGGAGAGACTCATAGCAATCATTTGCAGCATAGCATAAGAGTAATTTAGTAAATGTTACTTCTCTCTGGGGCCACATTTTCAGCCTTATCTTTTAATACAGGAAGCAACACTTCATTCACCATTTGCTAGAGAAATGCCATGTGTCTAACCACACAGTGGATGGGAGAGTTATTTTCTTAGGCAAAGGTCTTGTTACCTCTGAGTTAAAAATTGCACAAAAGAAATCCAAAAGCTTACTTTCTCTTGTAAACCTAAATACTATAGAACAAAATTATCAGTGGAATAAAGTATATTATAGCCTGTTGAATTTTCAGCAACGAGCTTGTTGTATAACTCTGAGGAGGTTTCTTTTACTACCAAGTTGGAATTAGGTGAGAGGGGTGGTTTGTAAGGCCAACTCAGAGAAAAAGGTTAGTTGAAAAGCCTTTGGTTGGGAGAGTCATTAAAGATATGGCAGTTCTATGGGTCTCATTGAAAGGAGATCCTAGAACAGTGTAAAGGGAAATGGCTCCTGGCGTGGCTGCCCAAACACTGGGATTTAATAGGTAGAGATGGAGTCTAATTTGTTTGGAGGGAGAAGAGCATTTTGTAATGAGGAGTGAGCAAGAATGACTGAGAAGCTGCTGCTAGAGGACTCAAAATCAAGCAAGCTAAAAATAAATAAATAAATAAATAAATAAATAAATAAATAAATAAATAAAAAACATTCCTCTAAAGCCTAATACAGGTTTTAAAGGGATTAAGGGTCAGGCAAAAACGCATTAAGAAAAGATATCAGCAGGAAGTAAGAATGTATACTGTGTTTTCTTAGTTGCTCAAAAGTGTTTTTACACTTGAAGGTGTTTAAGTTTTAGCTGCATTAAGAAGATATCCAGCTCTTCCTTTTGAAAATCTTAAAATCTGTATCAGTTGAGCACAGCTGGCAGGCTGCCTGTTAAACTGAAAAGGTTTGGGAGGCATAAGGAAGCTACATTAGAACCCCATTCTGTCTGCCATTTGTTAAACTTTTTAAGAATCACTGCCTCACAAGGTAGTGTTGCTAAGATTAAATAATTTATGTACTGTACCTAGCACAGAAACTAACATATGATTTGTACTCAATGGGTATTATTTCCATTCCTTACCCCTACACTCAGTTTTCTTATTTTAAAAATATAATTCCTACCCCATAAGATTAGGATTAAATATAATAAAATAGAGAGCATTTAGTTCAGTATTTAGTACATCGCAGTCAGCATTCATTACAAATCGGCCTTTTTCTCACTTTCCATCCCCTAAAGGTCCATCCAGAGCACATCAACTCTGTCACAAGCCAGGGCCAGCATAAATATATTGCAGTGACAGAAGTAAAGTGAGAAAAAGATGTACCACTCTCATGGAGAATGCCGTCTTTTGGTGAATTTCCTGCCAATTTTTTTTTCCCAAAGAGACTTTAAAATCGAAGCCAGTAAAAACTGGAAAATTGCAATTTATTAGAAAATCTGCATTGGGTAGCTCAGGATATGAGGAATGGCATTGCTAACAGAACACAACAAGGCATGAGAGAGCCCAGGCTGACCAACACCACACATTGGGAGTCCTTGATGGGAAGCCCAGTGTGACATGGGATGTAGCAAAGAAGAAACTGTTTGCAGGGAGAAGTACGGGTGTTCTTCGCTATCCGTCTCATCACAAAATTCTTGATTATAAAGAAAAGGGAAGAGGAAAAATTGATTTTTCAACTAATCTGTTGGGAATGTAAATTATGTAATATTTATATTAAAGAACAAGTTGATTTGCCATCTGAGGAATAGCAGACATGTTGAATAACGTGTTCTTTTGAATATACCAATATTGGTTTAATGAAATGTACAGGATGGTATGTAAACTCTGAGATAAAGCAAATTGTCTTTTCACTACCTAGTTAGTGTGTGTGCTGATAACAAAAGGATACCTTTTCCAGATTGAAATAAGGGAAATACATCAGCTACCTGCAGTTTATATATAAGTACATGTCCTCTGGATGGAGTATTACAGACCTTAAAATTATTTCATAAATATTATTTGTAAATGTGGGAAAATGCATATATATCTATGGAAAAGTTCTGGAAATGTAACTCAACTGTGCAAAAAGAAAACTTGAAAACAAATCCATTAAAATGTCGAGCAATTTTATGGGTGATTTCATTTCTTCTTTTGTAGTCTTAAAATTTCCTCTAAGAAACATACATGGCAAGTCCTTGAATAACTCACTTTGTTCAATGTTTCACTGTTGATGAGGGGAAAAAAAAGGAATTCTTGGCCAGGGCCACTGTTAGTGTGGAGTTTGCATGTTCTTTCCATGTCTCTGTGAGTTTTTCCATACTCTGGTTTCCTCCCACATCCCAAAGCTGTGCCCGTGAGGTGAACTGACGTGTCTATGTGGTCCCAGTCTGAGTGTGTGTCTGAGTCACCCTGTGATGGGATGGTGGCCTGTCCAGGCCTGGTGCCTGCCTTGCCCTCTGAGCTGGCAGCACAGGCTCCAGCCACCTTGGAGCCTGTGTAGCCACCTTGTTCCACCTCAACTGGAATAAGTGGGTTTGTAAATGAATGAATGAATGCGGACAAATTATTGTCAAATAAAACTTAGTGACATCAACAATAATCGTACAGATGCACAACAACCAACACAGGACAGGGAGCCTGCCTCATTTGTTCTTGTTTGTTTTTGAACTGTGTGGTGGTCAGGTGCTCCTGGGAATCTCCACTTTGCAAATATTTATTCCAGGATGTAACCCACCACCACTACAACCACCTTCACTCATTGATTCACCAAAAATTGAGTAAGATTGTTCTTATTCATCTTTCTTAAATGTATGTGTAGCTCACATTTATTTCAATGTTTAATGTCAGAAGTGTTTTGGGTCTTTATTTAGAAGTTGGGTGATATTTTTGTGACCAGAAATATGCCATAGGAACTTAACTCTTGTTTATGTCAATTACCCTGTGGTAGAATTGGTTTCTATATACGTCATTTCGCTTAAAGTTGCAGTTTCCAAGAACCTATCATCGATGTTAAGTGAGAAGACTTACTGTACTCCACAATTTAAAGATTAACTTAAAAAGGCTATGAGACTGGAATAAACCCAAATCTTTCAATTTTTAGAGTCAAGACTTTCATTGTACTGAACATACATCTCTGTGTGTGTGTGTGTGTATTCTGTGTGTCATATGTGTTTTGTTTGTTGTTTGTTTAATGTTAGTGGCAATTCAGCACTGGAATTCTATGTATGTTCTTCTATGCTTTCCTGCATTTGTTGTGTCTGTCTGGGTTAGTCTAAATTGACCACATCTAGCTCCTAAAACCTAACAGCTGTGGCTATGGAAGAGCCCTTCTCGGAATGAAGTTAACTGATCCATGTGGGATGAAACATACACCTGTGTCCTCATTAATCCCTTACACGAACAAACTGGCCTCCAGCAGATGAGACAGGAGAGACACAGACTTATAAGTTGAAGATCCTTTTGGATTCAGGGGTGTTTCAAGGGGCCACAGAAGAGTTTCCTGCTCTGTCCCTTCTCCCTTCCTTCCAACTGAACACGAAAAATCACTCACTAATTCATGAGTTAAATCAACAAAGATTTTGCCATTCACTAACTGATACATCCAACAAATATTTATGGAGCACTGTTAGGGACTGAATTGTGTCCCCATAGAATCCACATGTGGAAGCCCAGTGACTGTATTTGGAAATAGAGCCCAGGTAATAAAGGCTAAGTGAGGTCCTAAGAGTGGGACCTTACTCCAATGAGGCTGTGTCCTTATAAAAAGTAGAAAAAGGTCAAGCATGGGCTGGTCATTGACTTCCCAGAAATGTTAGAGAGTGTTCTTCCCTCAAAAGCCACCCCTAGACCTTGGCCCATCTGGGGAGAATCACACTTGGAATAGATTATTTGCTTCTTGGGAAGCTAAGATGAGATAGGAGCCCTTCCAGTAAGGCTGAGACTGCGTCAGCTGGCAGCCAATAGGGGTTGTTGCTCATGTGTCAAAGTTGATAGCTCCTGGGTAAGAAGATGCTGGGAGA